AGCTTCGGCTCTGACTTCCCTGTTCTGCGTCTGCACTCGGACAGAGGCGGAGAGTTCTCTTCTCGCCTTCTGCGAGACTACTGTCGTGCACGGGGGATCCGCCAGACCTTCACGCTTCCGGACTCACCACAGCAAAATGGGATTGCTGAGCGCCGCATTGGCATGGTCATGGATGTCGCTCGTACGTCCATGATGCATGCGGCTGCCCCCCATTTTCTGTGGCCGTTTGCGGTGAGGTACGCGGCGCATCAGCTCAACCTTCACCCCCGGGTCTCTCGGCCTGCGATGTCCCCAGCCTTGCTGTGGACGGGGAAGGTTGGCGATGCGTCTGTGTTCCGTGTCTGGGGATCTCGGGCGTTTGTCCGCGACTTGTCTGCGGACAAGCTGTCCCCTCGTGCCGCTCCCTGTGTCTTCCTTGGCTTCCCCACTGACGCCCCAGGGTGGCAGTTTTATCACCCCTCCTCTCGTCGTGTTCTGTCCTCCCAGGACGTCACGTTCGACGAGTCAGTCCCCTTCTACCGTCTCTTCCCCTACCGCACTCCTTCCCTCCCACCTCCCCCGGACTTCCTTGTGCCGGTTCCCCCCCCGGTAGACCCCCTCCCCCCTCAGGTTCCTGCCCCCTCAGGTGTGTCCCAGGTAGACGCCGTTGACCCGGTCGAGGTTACTGGTGACTCTGGTGCTGCTGCGGGTGCTGAGCCTGGGGGTGCTGACTCTGGGGGTGCTGTGCGCGGGGGTGCTGAGCCTGGGGGTGCTACTGCTGGGGGTGCTGGGCCTGAGGGTGCTACTGCGGAGGGTGCGGAGCCTGGGGGTGCTGAGCCGGGGGGTGCTGTGCCTGGAGGTGCTGGGTCTGGGGGTGCTGGGTCGGGAGCTGCTGAGCCTGGGGGTGCTGAGCTGGGAGCTGCTGGGCCTGGGGGTGCTACGTCTGGAGCTGTTGAGCCTGGGGTTTCTCCTACTGCTGCGTCTTGCCGGGAGCCCCTCTCTCCACAGGAGCTGCGCGAGTGGTTCGCTCGCCGCTGGAGGCGTGCTGCTGAGTCTGGAGGTACTGCTGGAGCTGGAGCTGGAGCTTCTTCGACCGTCGAGGGTGCGGGTGCTGCAGGTCCCGGAGCTGCTGGACCTGCGGGTCCTCCTGGAGCCGGAGCTGCTGAGGGCGTTGGTGCTCCGCCTACTGCTGTTGGTCCTGCCGCTGGAGGTGTGGGTGGCGCTGGTGCTGTCGCTTAGGGTGCTGGTGCTGTCCCTGCTGAGTCTGGAGCTGCCGCGCGGCCTCGGCTGTACTTCGTTCCGCTCCTGCAGCAGGTTCTTGGTCTTTCTCCTCCAGTAGAGGGTCCACCGCCTGTCCAGTCGCAGTCCCTACTGGAGCCTTCCTCTCCACTGCCTGCTCCCTCTCCTTACACTAGTCCTACTGGAGGTCTTGCTGAGCGCCGTGAGCCTGCGTCTCGTCCCGCGTCGCCTGTTCGTGCTGCTCGCGCTAGTGGTCGCAGTTCGCGTCAGCGTCCTCCTCCTGTCCCTGGCACGCACCGGATGTCTTTGCGTCCGTCCACTGCTCCTCTGCGGGCCCCTTTGCCTTCTCCTCCTGAGTCCTCTCTTCCTGCGCTTGCCGACCCTGAGTCGGACTCTCTTCGTGCTGCCAGTCCTAGTGTCACGCGTCTGCTTGCTACTGTCGTCACTGACCCCTCTTTTGAGTCCACTGCTGCGTCTGCTCTAGTCGCTGAGCTCGTCGACTTTGCTGCTCGCTGTCGTCTCGACTACGCTGCTAGTCTTGTTGCTGAGTCTGCGTCTGTCTGTCCTCCGTCCGTCGGGGGTGAGTGTGCTCTTGGCACGGACGTCCTTGAGGACAGGCAGGAGGAGTTACAGTGTCTAGCGGCTGCTTCACCTCATCTCGCGTCTGTACTGCTTGCCCCTGAGGGAGACCCGGATGCACTAGACATCCCGACTCCGCGTTCTTACGCGGAGGCCGTAGAGGGTCCCTACTCCTCTCAGTGGCAGGCAGCTATGGATGCAGAGATGGCTTCCTGGAAGTCCACAGGCACCTACGTTGACGCGGTTCCCCCTCCCGGGGCGAACATCATCAGTGGCATGTGGATCTTCAGGGTGAAGCGGCCGCCGGGCTCTCCACCTGTCTTCAAGGCACGGTACGTCGCTCGTGGCTTCAGTCAGCGGCAGGGAGTTGACTACTTTCAGACCTTCTCTCCCACCCCGAAGATGACTACTCTTCGGGTGCTGCTGCACATAGCCGCTCAGCGCGACTACGAGCTTCACTCTCTCGACTTCAGCACTGCGTTCTTGCAGGGTAGCCTGCACGAGGAGATCTGGCTTCGCCGTCCACCTGGCTTCACTGGGACTTTCCCTCCTGGCACCCAGTGGAGCCTCCGACGGCCAGTCTACGGTCTCCGCCAGGCACCGCGTGAGTGGCACGACACACTGAGGACTACGCTTGCGGCCCTTGGGTTTGCTCCTTCTACTGCTGACCCGTCGCTGTTTCTTCGCACCGACACTTCCCTGCCGCCGTTCTACATCCTCGTGTACGTTGACGACTTGGTCTTTGCCACAGCGGACACTGCTGGACTCGCCTACGTGAAGTCCGAGCTGCTGAAGAGACACACGTGCACAGACCTGGGTGAACTGCGCAGCTACCTTGGCTTGCAGATCACTCGGGACAGAGCACGCCGCACCATTACCTTGACTCAGTCACACATGGTGCAGCAGGTCCTTCAGCGCTTCGGCTTCACGTACTCCTCGCCTCAGGCCACTCCTCTGCCTACTCGCCACTCACTCTCAGCTCTGCCTTCGGATGAGTCCGTAGAGTCGAGTGGTCCGTATGCAGAGCTTGTTGGCTGCCTCATGTACCTGATGACCTGCACACGACCTGACCTTGCATACCCTCTGAGCATTCTTGCACGCTATGTTGCTCCTGGGAGACACAGACCAGAGCACATGGCTGCAGCGAAGAGGGTATTGCGCTACTTGTGCAGTACGTCAGGCATGGGGCTAGTGCTTGGAGGGCGGAGTCCAGTGGTCCTTACCGGCCACGCGGACGCTTCTTGGGCTGACGACCAGGCTACGCAGCGGTCGTCACAGGGTTACACCTTCAGCCTTGGTTCCGGCTCTGTCTCGTGGCGGTCTACTCGCTCGTCTTCGGTTCTCGGCTCCAGTTGTGAGGCTGAGATCTACGCCGGGGCCATGGCTGCACAGGAGCTTCGCTGGCTCACCTACCTGCTGACTGACCTTGGAGAGCCGCCTCGTTCTCCTCCAGTGCTGTACGTAGACAACAAGGCCATGCTGGCCTTGTGTCGAGAGCAGCGCTTGGAGCACAGAACAAAGCACATTGCTCTCCGCTACTTCCTTGCTCGTGAGCTGCAGCAGCGTGGTCAGTTGCGACTTGCGTACGTGGCCTCTGAGGCCAACACTGCTGATGTGTTCACCAAGGCACTCGCGCCTTGTGACCATCAGCGCTTTTGCACCCAGCTGGGTCTTGTGCCTGTCTTGCCTCACTTGCTCTCCTCTTGACTTCACTTGTACTGTGACATATATATATACCTGCTCTTGCTTGTCTAGTTTTATACATATGTCTGTACTCCTGCATGTGAACTGGCCTCTGGCCCTGCTCTTGTGCTCGGACTGTGTGGTGACTTTGTGATCCACCCTGAGCTTGCTTTGCTTTGCTTTGCTTGACTGGTCTTGTGACCCCTTGTTCTCCCCCACTTTGCCTATGGGGGTGTGTCAGATTATTATAGCTGATGCATGTTTGTAGGCTATAGTGGGGTAGCACATATGGGGTACAGCTTTCTAGGGTTGTATTTGTACCCAACTCTGACTTAGTCATTTCATTCCTGTTCATTCTTTTCACACGAGTTTATGCCTTCGAGTCGCTTCTCGTCATGGCGTTGTATTCATGGTTACAACCTCGCAAATATTGTAAGTTTCGTAAGTTTGAAAATGTTTAAAAAACAACGCCAAGCGAGGCTTAGTCCGGACGTTGGACTCAGACTTCCCAAAATACGGCATCTGAACCGTTCTCGGACGGTTGTCAGGATTTTTTCCTCTATTAGAGAGTGTAACACGCCCTCAATGCGGAAACCCGCCGGATCGAGTATGAGTCATGGCTAGAGGACCTTCAGCTGTACCTACAGAGCATTACCAAAAACGACGTTTTGCTTTATGAACATACGTTGGGGTCCCTTCCTGCCCCAGCCAAGACGGCTGACCGCATAGTTCGTTTACAGTGGCTCTCCCGCGACGCCACTACCCAGCTTGCTATCCGCAACCACCTCTCACTAGACCGGAGGCCCCACTTTCGCTCTACGACGCTACAGTGAAGCGCTACTCCTCCCCCTCTTAGGCCGTCTAGCGCTGCCATTCCTCTTCCCTGAGCTGTCAGACTTTGCCACTGTAGCCGGCCTCATTACTCATTTGCGCTCCTATGACACGCGCTACCGTGCAGCTCTCCCACCAGAGTTTCTGACTACGAACCAGCCCCTTGTGTACCTCACTCTCTACTTCTTCGTGAATGCCTTGTCAAAATACTAAGCTAACTAGGAACTGGGTTGAAGGAGGGCCTAGGCTTAGTAGCCTAGGCCAAGCAAGTGTCGAGGTCAAGGCCAAGGGAGTGTCGAGAGAAATTGACCAAACAAGTTAGCTTCACTAAAGCAAAGCATACAAGATATAGTCGAGAATCACAAACAAGAGGTGCACCACCAACAGCAAAGAACAATAACTATACTAACCACAGCAAGCAGGATATATCTTAAATATAACTTTGACACACCCCCTTAGCCTGCTTGCAGTAGGAACTAGAGTAGTCAACACCCCCTGAAAGGGGTATAGCTGGCGCAGTGGGAGACGGCAGAGGGGTACGTGAGGGGAGGCGGCGAAAGGGAGAGAGGAGAGGAGAGGAGATGAGAACACAGGGAGAGGTGAGTGAGGGATGAGGAGAGGAGGTGGGGGGGTGGCCGCGGCGTCCCCTCTTACTAACCCCCTTTTACGAAAGGGGAGTTGAGTGGGGGATGAGGAGAGGAGGTGGGGGGGTGGCCGCAGCGTCCCCTCTTACTAACCCCCACATCCCCACCCCCAATCAACCACCCTCCTTCAACCTCACCCCCCATTTCAGCCACCCCCTGGAACCGCACCCCCTCCCTCTCTTCCTTCCTCCACACCCCTGCCCAACCCACAATTGTCTCTGCCCTGTCCTTCACACTGCAGCCAGCCCTCCCACCCCCCCGCTCCCGCCACCTACCCCCCACAGTAGCAGCTGCGGGAGGGGAGAGGCAGGGCAGAGGGTGGTGCTCTGCTGGCGGGGTTCTCTGCTGGCAGGGTTCTCTGCTGGCGGGGTTCTCTGCTGGTGGGGTTCTCTGCTGGCGGGGTTCTCTGCTGGCAGGGTTCTCTGCTGGCGGGGTTCTCTGCTGGTGGGGTTCTCTGCTGGCGGGGTTCTCTGCTGGCGGCTGGCCCTGGAGCTGGTGCTGGTGCTGGCGGCTGGCCCTGGAGCTGGTGTTGGTGCTGGCGGCTGGCCCTGGTGCTGGTGCTGGTGCTGGCGGCTGGCCCTGGTGCTGGTGCTGGTGCTGGCGGCTGGCCCTGGTGCTGGTGCTGGTGCTGGCGGCTGGCCCTGGAGCTGGTGCTGGTGCTGGCGGCTGGCCCTGGAGCTGGTGCTGGTGCTGGCGGCTGGCCCTGGTGCTGGTGCCTGGTGCCGGGGCCTGGTGGCTGGCGCTGGTACTGGTGCCTGGTGCTGGCGGCTGGTGCTGGTACCGGTGCCTGGTGCTGGCGGCTGGTGCTGGTACTGGTTCCTGGTGCTGACGCTGGTGCTGGTACTGGTTCCTGGTGCTGGCGCTGGTGCTGGTACTGGTTCCTGGTGCTGGCGCTGGTGCTGGTACTGGTTCCTGGTGCTGGCGCTGGTGCTGGTACTGGTTCGATGGCAGGTGTGGTGCGCTGGGGGGGACGGGGGACTGGAACGGGCGGGGTAGTGGGGTCCACTGGTGGTGCCACGGGGCTGGATGGGGTTCAAGGGGCGGATAGGGAGCGATTTGGCGCATCTAGCGGTGTAGAAGCAACTTCTCCCGCCGCTCCCAACACCCCCGCCACTTCCGCCACTCCCTTCACAGCAGCTGCGAAGTCGACGGGAGGGCGGGCGGGGAAGAGGTGTGACTGGCGGATGCTGGCGCTGGCGGCCGCCACTCCGTTCCCCCTTTCCTCTTCGCCCCCACTGCGCCCGTCGCTGTTTCTGCGCCACGGAGCCGCGACGAGGCAGCGTGACGGCGGCGGGTCCATTGGCAGGCTTGCTCGCGGGCCCGTTGGTGGGTTCGTCGGTGGGCGTGCTCACACGCGCGCTGGCGGGTTCGTCGGTGGGCTTGCTGGTGCTCTCGTTGGCGGGTCCGACGGCGGGTCTGTCGGCGGGTTTGCTAGCGGGTCCGTCGGCAGGCTTGCTGGCGCTCTCGTTGGCGGAACTGACAGCGGGTCCGTCGGCGGGTTTGCTGGTGGGTCCGTTCCTGGCGTTCCTGGTGCGTTCATGGCGTGCGCGGTGGCGTGCGTTGCTGGTAGTGAGCGGGCGACGGGCTGAAAACGGGAAAGCGCTCACGAGGCGGACTAAGGGGCGCGCCATTGCGAGCGCTAATGGTGGGCCCATTTGAAAACGGTCCTAATCGGACCTAGCTCTATACCATGTCAAAATACTAAGCTAACTAGGAGCCGGGTTTAAGGAGGGCCTAGGCTTAGTAGCCTAGGCCAAGCAAGTGTCGAGGTCAAGGCCAAGGGAGTGTCGAGAGAAATTGACCAAACAAGTTAGCTTCACTAAAGCAAAGCATACAAGATATAGTCGAGAAACACAAACAAGAGGTGCATCACCAACAGCAAAGAACAATAACTATAGTAACTACAGCAAGCGGGATATATCTTAAATATACCTTTGACATGCCTCCCAGACTCTCTGCGCAACGTTCGATGCTACTTTCTCTCCCTAGACCTCACTGCGATCACCCTTGCCTCAATTTAGTCTCGTCTCCTTGAGGCTAAGACCAGTGCCCACGCTGTAGCTTCCTCCCGTGGCACTCCCCTCCCCTCCTTCTTTGAAGGATGCCCCCCTCCCTCCTAACGCCTGTTGTTGCCTCTGCTACCACTGTTGACTTCCTTGGAGCTGAGGAGGTCGGTGCTGCGTCTGCTCCTAGTGGGAGGCATAGCAGCAGGGGTGGGCATAAGAAGGGTTGGGGTTGGTGGGGGTGGTAGAGGCGGCGGTGGTAGTGGCAGGGACGGCAGCGGTGGCAGTGGTGGGGATGGTGGAGGTGGTGGTGGCAGTGAAGGTGGCGGGGGTGGTGGGGGCAGTGGGGGTGGTGGGGGTGGTGGGGGTGGTGGAGAGGGCACAAGCGGTGGTCGGGGTGGAGCGGGCGGGGGTGGAGGATTGAGTTTGGCTACCCACGGAGCTGCGTCTGGCAGTATCGCTGGTGGAGGTGGAGGCGCTTGGGGTGGGCAGCAGCAGCGTCAGCAAGAGACTTTCTCGCCGCAGCAGTTTTGCAAGTGGGTTGTCCAGCGAGGTGGCCCCGGAGGTGTGGAGGCTACTAGTCTAGGTGCTTGTGATTCTGCTAGCGCATGTGCAGTTCCTGTGGAGGCTTTGCACACCTTTACGTTGGACTCAGGCGCGTCTCGTTGCTTCTTGCACCACAGTCACACCGCTTATAATACATGTCCCCGTCACTCTGGTCGACCCCTCCTCTGATCCAGTCGGTTCACATGGTTCCACTGTTCTCCCGTGTCCGGCAGCCCCCTCCGGCTCCCTCATAGGTCTCCACCTACCCTTGTTCGCTACGAACTTGGTGAGTCATGCTGTCCTCCAGGATGAGTTGGACACTACCACTACTCCTGGGGGTGGGCTCGTGGCGATCTGTATGGCGACCACCTTGACACGTTCACTTGGAGGGCTGGTTCTGATCTGCACACCCTGCACAATGAGTCTACACAGGTGGCTCATCTGGTTAGGCAGTTGTTTTGCTCGTGTCGGTTACTTACGTACCTGTCTCTACTCTGGCACCACCATGTTGGTCACCACTCCCTGCAGCCTCTACGTCGAATGCATCCGTGTCTCCTTGTTTCTGGCCTCGCGAGGTCCCTAACCCCGCTCCCTCCATCGCTTGCGCCACCGTGCGTTCCCTGCGTCGAGGGGTGGCAGTGCGCCGCTCCTCACTCCTCCTTTTTCCCTCCGATCACTGATCAACTGCACACCCTACACATGGACGTGTGGGGCCCCGCCCCAGCCTCTGGGCTGGGTCGGGAGCGCTACTTCCTGATGGTCGTCGACGATGACACGTGCTACACCACGGTGTTTCCCTTGCAGCACAAGGGAGACGTTTGTGTTGTTTTGATCCCTTGGATCCGCACTGTTTGCCGATAGCTGAGCGCACGGTTCCGTCAGGACCTCCCGGTGCTCTGTCTGCACTCCGACCATGGAGGTGAGCTTTCATCAGGTTCTTTGAGGACTTCTATCGTGAGGAAGGCATTACTTTGTCGTTCATGCTTCCCGCTTCTCCACAACAGAATTGCTCGCACCTCTATGATCCATATGGCTGCACCTCGTTTTCTGTGGCCGTTTGTGGTCCAATACACCGCGCTTTAGCTCAACCTCTGACCCCGTGTCTCCGAGCCAGAGACCTCGCCTACAATGCGTTGGACGAGGGAGGTTGGCAATGCGTCGGCGTTTTGGGTCTGGGGTTCGCTTGCCCTTGTCCGCGATACTACTGCGGGGTTTTCTTCTTGCACAATTCGCTACATCTTCCTTGGCTTTCCCACCGACGCCCCGCCTTGGCCATTTTACCACCCTGCCACGCGCCGTGTCCTATCCTCCCGTGACGTCACCTTTGATGGATCGATCTGCTACTACTGTCTCTTCCCCCACGCGTCTTCTCCTGTCCCCCTGCCACCCCTCCTCCTGGTTCAAGGTTACCCCCCGGTAGACCCCCACCCCCCCTCGCGTCCGCCTCCCTCAGATGTGTCTCGGGTCACACCAACCCCCTTGGTTGAGCCTTTGGAGGACTCCTCAGACCCCACTGGCCCAGCTAAGAGGGGTGACCTTGATGGTGACGACACTGCAGCTTCTCACCACTCACCGCGCTTGGAGACCCTTCGTGGTTTTCCGCCTCAGCCGCCTTCGACGCCTCTGCAGCCTGACGCTATGGACTTTGGTGTTGCTACCGGTGGTGCCGCTGGAGATGCGGGCTCTGGGGGTGCTGGGTTTTGGGGTGCTTGTCGAAATATTTTGTCATGTTTTATAATTGCTTGTAGTTGTAGTTAGTGTAGTTATGTAAACTTTTGTTGGTGGTGCACCTTATTTTGTTTCTATGCTATATGTACCCCTGAACCTATAGTGAAACCACCTTTTCACCAATTTCCCTCTCAACTCACTCGACATTGCTCCTAGGGGAAAACCCGCTCGATACCTAAGTTAGGGCCTAGGCTACTAAGCCTAGGCCCCCGTTTCTACTCTTAATTTACTTAGACATTCGACATGGTATCAGAGCCGAGTGTTCGTCCTGGCCTGTGGGCCCACTTTACTTCCGCTGCTAAGATTTTACGGTCGCGCGCCTAGGGCGCGTGACGGTTTTATTTTTACCTTGTCCCGCCCACGGGCGTGTGACTCCTTCCCTGCCCGTCGCGCGCCCCGTGGCACGCGACGGTGCCCTTCTACTGCCCATCGTGCGCCCCGTGGCACACGATGGTGCCCTGCTCGTCGTGTGCCCCGAGGCACACGATCGGGCCCTTTTATGCTACCCGTCGTGCGCCCCGTGGCACTGGCCCGCGACGGGCCTTTCCGCCCCTGCACTCCCTGCTGCCGCCCCTGACCCATCTGCACCGACGCCTCTTCGCCGCTCTGCGGCTTTCTTCCTTCCCACCCCCCCCTTTCTCTTGTCTCCCTGCAGCCGTGGGGAGGAGGGTATGGGGGTGGAGGGTGTTGGAGCGTGGGGTCAACTCTCTCCCTTTCCCTCCTCCTTCTTTCAGTCCCACCGCTGCAGCTGCCGCTGGGGGAGGAGGGTGTGAGGATGTGGGTGAGGAGGGGGAGTGGTACCGGGGTGGCGGGTGTGAGGCAACAAGCAGCCGTCCCTCCACCTCTCCTCTCTTCCCCCTTTCTCTGCTGCTTCTGCAGCAGTGTGGGGGAGGGGAAGGAGGAGGGTGAGGAGATGGTAGGGGTACCTGCTGTTGCTGTAACTACATACCTACCTACAAGCATTATGGGGGCGTGTCGAAATATTTTGTCATGTTTTATAATTGCTTGTAGTTGTAGTTAGTGTAGTTATGTAAACTTTTGTTGGTGGTGCACCTTATTTTGTTTCTATGCTATATGTACCCCTGAACCTATAGTGAAACCACCTTTTCACCAATTTCCCTCTCAACTCACTCGACATTGCTCCTAGGGGAAAACCCGCTCGATACCTAAGTTAGGGCCTAGGCTACTAAGCCTAGGCCCCCGTTTCTACTCTTAATTTACTTAGACATTCGACAGTGCTGACTCTGGGGGTGTTGGCTCTGAGGGTGCTGCGCATCGTAGTGGTGGTGGAGTTGAGGGTGCTAGTACTGGAAGTTCTGCGTGTGCGTTGCAGCCTCTGCCGCAGCGCTCCTACTACTAGGAGCAGCAGCAGCCGTCGCTGCCTCTTACTGAGCCCGTTAGTAGAGGTTACAGGGGTGCTGGTGCTAGAGGTTCTGGTACTAGAGGTAGTGGAGATGGAGGTGCTGGAGATGGCGGTGCTAGAGGTTTTGGTGCTGGAGATACCGGAGCTGGAGGAGCTGGAGCTGGCGGTGCTGGAGGTTCTGGTGTTGGAATTCCTATCGCCGGAGGTGCTGGGGTTTTGGTGCTGGAGGTACTGGGGCTGGCAGTGCTGAAGGTCCTGGTGCTGGAGGTATTGCCGCTGGAGGTGCTGGAGGTATTTGAGCTGGAGGTACTACCGCTGGAGGTACTGGAGCTGGGGTTGTTATACAGCCCCGGCAGTGGTGACTGTTCTTCTTGGACCAGCCGCAATCATCACTACCACCACATGGCTAGGCGCTTTGCCATGTTCGCAATCTTCCATCCTCCACTGGCCCTACTCCTTCTCTACTGCGTCCACTGACTGACCCGTCCCAGACATAGTTGCCGCCTGACTCCCCACTGCCTGTTCCTTCTCATCACACTAAGCATATAGACTCCTTGACTGAGCGTCGAGAGCATGCGTCCCGTCCTGCCTCCCCTCTTGCCCGTCATGCTTGCCATGTTCGCCCCCACCTGTTCCCTCTAAGCACACTATGGCACTTCGTCCTTCATCGATTGCACATGGTCCTGTCCTGCTGTCTCCTCCAGAGTCCTCTCTTCCTGACGTTCCCGACCCCGAGTCTGACCTTGCTCGTGCTGCTTGTCCTACTGCCACTTGTTGTCTTGCCACACTTCTCACTGACCCTACCTTGTTACTTGTTGTCTGGCCACACTTCTCACTGACCCTACCTTTTAGTATGTTGTTGCGTCTGCCGCCTTGACTACTTCGTGAGTCTTCTGACTATCCTCCGTCCGTCAAGGGTGAGCTTGCCCTTGGCAGTGATGTCCTTGAC